TATGGCACAAGTTCAAGAATTTCACTGCTTGCTATGTTAAAATGTACTTTCTTTTTTACAAATCTCTTTTAAGTCAATTTTCTTCATTTTTGTTCCTGTGTTGCAGGATGTGTGGCATAACAGTTCCACCTTCAACTTATCCAGTGCTTTTACAATTTAAGTCTTCCTGTAGATGACTCAGAAAACAAGAGAATTTTAGGACTCAATGATATTTCTGTGTTCCTTGGGCAGCATTTACTATTCTTTGAATATTTCCTGGTTGTTTCCTGTCTCATTCTGAAAATTGGAGCTCCAGAATTCAGGCCAAGGAAAATGATGAGGACCTGATGAGGACATTTGCAACATTTACTGCACAAAGCTTTTGCATAGTTTATAGCTTGTGCGAATGCCCTTCTGACACCTAAATATTTTACTAAATTATGAATATAGTATTTATAACAATTTTGTAGGATCAATAGATGCTGCCAATTATATGAAAAACATGGTTATTTATTTAGAGAGGATCGGATATTTTCTTTTTTCTGTTGTGCAACATTTGAAATCAGTAGCTGTAATCGAAGTGTCTTTCTAAGGGATAATTATTTAATTACGTAGTGAATTTATACTCCCTGCTTTTCCGCAGTAAGGAAGAAGTTGGATCTTGACAAACCTCTGAAAATGATCCTAGAATGAGTTGGCCCACATAGTGTAAATATTTGCAGTCTAAGTTTAATTACGGCAACAGGATCTTTGCTGAATTCGTGCCATAGGCTGCCACTATTTTCCAAAGAATGTTGCTGTCATTAAAATTGTATGTAAGAAATTTTCCTGAAAAAAGGCATATATTTAATGAGCTGATGCCTCATTGCTGCTGTCTTTGTTCAAGACAGTGCTTGCGCCTTGCTCATGCTGCAACAGCACATTTAGATTTGCATGCCTGCTTCAGCTCCAAGATGTCACACTTATCTAGGAGAAATTCTGGTCAGAGTAACATTAAGCTGAGTAACTTTTGCACATGTCAGACCAGTTGTCATTAACCATTTAAAAGGATCTTTAAAAAGGCTAGCTAGCTGGGGAAATTTTGAGTCATTGCTGGAATATAATTGCTAATAAAATAAATATTTTTAAACTTTTTATACCTTTATCTCAGTGTTGAAAGAAACATCCTTTGTGATACCCTATTTACAAAGAGAGAATATTTAAGTTGTAAAAGAGAGGAGGTTTTATTTTAGTTGCTTCACAATGTACCAAAATAAAAATAAAGGCCACACGAAAAGAGAAAGACAAGAGTTCAATTTCTGGACGATTACTGTTTTCTGAGAGCAAGCTGGTTGCCCAGACTGCAACCCCCCTGCAGTATCTGCCATCCCAATCCAGATCAGTGACCTTTCAAACAGCAATGGCTATGTACCACCAAACTACTTCATCAGACCAGCTCTCTCCTGTATCACTTACAAGTATGGGTCAGGAACTGCAGTTGCCAGCATACCTCTGGTGATGCAGTGACAAAAAATACCATGATTTAAAATATTCAGAATTAGGTTGTTCTAAAGAAGAACCTGCTTTGCTATCATTTACTGCCAAATCTTTCCAGTTTGTGTGAAGAGTACTATTCTTAGCTATGTTTTTTTGTTGTGCCTATGACAAGCGCAGGTGGTTGGAAGGAGTCATGATGGTCAGTGATATGCCACACCATGCTGTCAACATACCTATTAATGTCTATCTCTCTCAGAGAGATCACACGCTACAGTAATATAGCTACAGTAGTATTACAACAGTAAGATAGTAAATAATACAGTAATATACAGTATTATCACTACAGAAATATCGTAATATAACAACCCTTTCAGAAGGCTGAGAGTACTTACACAAAATCTGCAGAGAGAGTAGTCCATTGTATATCCATCTAAACAGCCACACAGGGCAGGTCATCATCCTTTAAATCGCTGTGGAAAAGTACTGCTGTATGTTGATAAACTTCTGAACTGTGGGATAAGAGAAAGCCAGAGCAGCAAAAAAACACAACTTTGGCTAAGTTCTGACAGTCAAGAATAATGAATAAAAGTTATGAAGGGCCAGGATAAGTCTTGGTTGAAGCAGGATAGTCGGATTTTCCCTGTTAAGTGTTACACCAGCATTACCAAAAGCTAAATGCTACATCTCATGACTCCTACCACTTATGCACAAATCCTCCTGATCTCCAAGGTCCTCAAAAAACTTGCTAATCAAATTTCCTGAAGCAGTCTGAGTTCAGATCAGGTCAAAAAGGAATGTTTCAAGTAGGCAGTCATAATGATGACTCACCTCAGAGATTGCTCCCAACACAGTCTCAAAACAGCAACAAGCTTTGTGGTTATGGCATGCTTTGGTGGAACAGTCTGCTTTTAATAGTGTCCAAAATAGTGCACTGTAAAATAATATTGTGTTTGCTGACAGCTACGTGCACACCAATGTAGACATGTGGTGACATGCACTAGTAATTCTTTGCAACAGGAGAGTGGAGTCCCTAAGAGCTCTGTCTTGGCATCAGCTCTTTTTAGTACTTACATTAGCACTGCTAATCCTTACAGAAGAGTCATGAAAAAGTTGAAGGATTGGTGTATGTTCTGCTGACTGTGCCTATCTGAATCTTTCTACTTGACGAACCAATCTGCAAAGAAGATTTTGAATATCATGTTCTATGGTCCCAAATGAAACACAAAGACTTTGAAATATGTTGCATAGTCCCAGGTCATACCATTACCCACAGCTTACACCTCACTATCAGGATGAAGAGTAGAACTATTTTATTTCTGGATAGTGAAGATTATTCTTGAACCATAATGAAATTATCAACACTCCTGTGATAAACCCAGCTCTCAATTTCTTGGGTTTAAGCAAGACCATTAGACCACTGCCAGAAATAGAGGAAAAGAGTGCTGACAAGCTTCAAGATCTATTGATAGGAGCCATTTCCATTTGCATTTCTGATGAGAGTTTCTGTCCTAGCAATTCAAAGATGACTCATAGAGTCTGTATTAATTATCTGCTGATATTTGTTCAGAAAGGCTTTTCTTTTTCTTTCTGCTGTTTTCAAAGAAAAAGAATCAATCTGGGGTTTTCCTTATTACACTGATGGCCATTGGTGGGAGAAAAATAAAGCCCTGAAAGCATTCTTGTATTGTGAAAACCTAGGTGAACTTGGGGAGTATCTCTGAAAATGTTTGCTTTGGGAAGAAGGTAATTTATTAGAATCATATTTCCTTTATCTGCAACCTCTTTTACTTAGGACCTGCCATGTGCTATTTTTCTGCTGATCTGAGATTTATCCCAGATCAACAGTTGTGCTAATCACCCGCATTAAGCGTAGAAGGGGAAACTGAGGGTGCAAAGGTCTGAGAAACTTTCTCTATTCGTATGAAATTTGCACACGAGCCCCCACTACAAATCCTTTTATTTTGTCCTGTAGATAAGCATTCGGGTAACTGCATTCTATGTATTTTTAATCATATCCTCTTTTTTCTTTTCTTCTTTTAAAAAAGACAGTTTAAATTCTCTCTTGAATATTTTTATTCTTTTTAGATTTTTTTTTAATAACTGAAGTTTATTTTCAAGATCGGAGCAAATGGAATAGAATAAAATTATCAGTTAAAATAATCAGGAATGTAAACCAGAGATGAAAAAAATCCTTTGGTAATCTTCACCATGAAAAGCATGATTCTGAATGGATTTTCAGCATCTTCTTGACACATTTTACAATGCTAGTTAAATGCATACTACTCTGTGCTGCAAACATATACACACCTACCCTTCTGGGTTGCACAGTTGTGCTCCAGCCACTTTTTGATGCCCATTAAATATCAAATGTTCATCTACAGGCAGATATAAGAGCTGACAGGTCACTTTGTTATTGAATGTTCTTTAAAATGGTTCCTGTCAAGTTCTGACTGTTTGGTGCAAACTAAATACATGGTGTCAAGAGGGGTCAAGACTCCCAAAAGCTTTTAAATGTAGTTGTGGAGTATTGGGCTTCTGCATTCACTTTGTCCAAGGAAGGTAGAGGGGTAACTCACAGAAGGGATGCTTGTTTACAGCAGTAGGACATATGGGGAGTTAGTATTGCACTGGCTGCCCAGTTGCCTGTCATTAGAGGCTTTGTAATATACCTAAATGCTTTGTATGTGCTTGGTAGACTGCTTTGTCAAAAGCAACAGACGTGAGGTTATATCCACTAGTCTTAGTAAATGCCCTGCATATACTACTAGTGAGGCAGATTGCTTAGTCTGACTCTACAGTCAAGCCATATTTTACTTAAAAAATATGCAAGCCTCATTTTCTGGAAACCATCCAGTTCAACAAGAATGATTTTTTATTGTCCAGTCATAAAATTCTCATCAATATGTAAATGACTTCTGCCCCCTAGTCATTTAGAAAATGAAACTTTGAAGCAAAGAAGCTTTGTTTGCTTGAAGAGTTAGTGGGTCTTGGACGCGTTTGAAATGCTTCCCATGGTACTAGGGTCTAGGATCCTTTCTCATGCCAGTCTCTAACTGGAAACGTGAAACTGAACTGAAGGAACTGGCTTTCAACGTAATCTGATGTTTCCTTAAATCATCTTTCTGCACTGGAATTCCTGTGAAAGAATATGTGAAATAATTATTTTGCAATACAGCTAGCAATCAGAAATGGTTGATCCCAAATTACTTCTAATGGTAAACAGGTTGATTAAGAAAAAGTTTAAAAGATATTTTTGAAGTTTAATTTGAAAAGCTAAATAAATCGAAGGATTGTAAAGTTCTTTAACTGTGAAATATTATCTTGAAACTGTACTTATTAAATGAAATACAACACAGTTTTCCCAAAATCTTCTTAAATGAATTATTCCTAAATAACTTTACTGTAGTGGATAGTGGTTAACAGTAATATTCCTGTGAAAATCTGCTATGTAACTTTATTGACAGTTCAAAATTAATTGATGCATTTTAATGTTACACCAGAGTGAGTTTGACACGCTTCTTTTTTTGTCTTGCTATTTTGTGCAGGTATCATTTTTCCAGTTCATTATTTTTGTGGTGTACACCATGCTGCCCTTCAACATGAGAGATGCTATAGTTGCCAGCGTCTTGACCTCTGCCTCTCATACCATCGTGCTGAGTGTGTGTCTATCAAGTACAGCTGTGGTAAAGGAGCACTTGGTCTGGCAGGTAGGTGTTCTGTGGGATCACGGGTTAATTGCACACTCAATCGCCCGGAGAATGACACCATAAGTACCTCAAATGTGCTTTGACATATAACTTGATCTTTGACTGCTTTGGGCTGACTGATGGAGATCTGGAAAGACTTCATGGCGTTTAGTAAACCTGGTGATATGGGCAGTCAACTTTAGGCTTGCAGTTCCTCTCTGGCCATTATACTAGAGGACATAATTTGAATTCATACTTAAAAATTGAAATATGAGGAGTTATTTTCCCTCACTGTTTTGCAGAAGATATTTTAAATGATGGAACATTACAGTATTTTTTGTTATGTTGTGAGGACCTTAGCCATCATTGATACAAACCTTTATTTTTAAGGAAGAATTTAGATTCTATTTCAAAAAGCAAATACATTTTCTGTATTATGGCAGTTTAGAGAAACAGAATGCTATTGCTTTTAGAAAATTCTTCTCATTTTTCACCAAACTCATGCAGATGTTCATCTATTTAATCCACTGATTATATATTTCATAGTAAATGTTTATATTTTTTGTAAACATGAGAGTAGAACAAGAAAGGAAGATATCGTGATATTTACTTACCTTTAAGATACTTGAGCGTTATTTTGAAAAATATTGTGCCTCAAAGGATATTGTCACAATTGCAGTGATTTTACAAAAATCATGCCTTATAAGATGGACTTCTAAAAGATACCTTTTATTTCCAGACTTGACTGCAGAACTGTGCTTTCTGGAATATTAAAATTAAAGTCTCATCAAAAAAAGATGCTGTCCTTCGTATACATTTTAAAATGGTTAAATAAATGACTTCGCTTTTCTTCTGATGATTTGGGTTACCCATGTGTCTGATGCTGACATTGATGAGTTTTGCAGGATGTTAAGTAAAGGCCATGCTCTTCTGTAGTCAATACAGTATTTGGCAGTGTTTGGTGCAGGCAGAGATAAAAATCCTCTGTTAAGATAAAGAATCCTTTTTCAATCTTCTAGTTCTAGGATCTAATTCCTTTTTGAACTAGGCATGTCTTTCAGAAGAAATAAATAATAAAAAATGATTTGAAAACTGTTAAGTATGAAGATATTCCACATAAATATGAAGATATTTTTCTTTTTTTTTTTTTTCCATGAGTATTGAATGCTAATGTTAAAATTTTGCCCCTTTTTTCTAGTAAGAATTTCTCTAGCCTATTCATCATTGGACCTTTGGAACTTGCTTTTTATGCAATAGACTGGCAGACCAAGTGTCATCACCTTTCTTTTGAAATTAGAGTATTGCTCGATAGTCTTATCATCAGTTTGCCTCATAAGCTTTTCCTCAATTTAAAAAAAAAGAGTACTTTTGTACTAGCTAAGTCTCTGAGAAAGTAAGTACTTTCATAGTTCTTTGAGTCTTTATCTGTGCTTCATCAGCACCTTTTCTGCAATATGGATGTTAGCATTAGGAGAAGATTCCAGTAGCAACTGAAGCTGTGTCATAAACTTTTCAGCCTTGATTTATAGGAAAATAACTGCCTATGCATAATTTTCAATTGACAGTTTTAATCCAAGGCTAGACACAAGGTCTAAAACCTCTGACTCTTCCCCATGTACCCACGTGGAGGTAATGAACTTCAGTTAATTTTCCGTCTGCTCCTGGTAGCAGTCCTACCTTGGTTAGAAGTCCTACAAAAAAGAACATCGTTCTAGCCATGTTTTTGGGGCATTTGACCCAGAAGAATTTAGTGTTTTAATATCACTTTTCAGGTATTGCTGGAATGAAAAGTATTTCCCTGCTGTAAAGAAAAGTATTTCCCTCCTGTAAACACATGCTGTTTCTCTCAGAGCCAGGACATATGCTAATCAAATGCTTGTGCTTTTCCTGCATTGTTATCAGCATCCCAACCATTCTGATCTCATCAAGGGCTGATACTATGATTACGTACTGATACTATGGTCTTAATTTGTTAAAAATAAGCTAAACTAAGTATTTATATTCTATGAGCTTTCATTTTTCCCTTGTAAGTAATAAATGGCGGTGGTGGGAATATTTTTGGTTTTGTCCTTTAAAAATGTTGGTTTTACTCTCTCAACAGGCAGTTTTACTCATTGTGTAATCTTTTTTATTTCCTATCTATGGCTAAATGTTTTCCAAATTCTGGCTAGATATTACATTACAGTTCCTTGTTTTTTTTCTGGATACTGTTGATTGTTCCTCAAAGCACTGTAAAGGTTGTCCATTTTAAAGGCAAAAAAATGTAACTATGACAGCATGCATTTCTTTTTTTGAGAGGGGGGATTGGATGTTGTTTCAGACTGCATATAGGAGTAGGCATCATGTTGGAATAACTTTTACATAATTATTCTCTAACTTTTGCTTCTTTGATCAGCTCCTTTCTATTAGCCTGGCTAAATTCTAAGATAAGTCTGTCCTACTGTACAAAAACATATGCTAAATGAAAATTTTATTAATTGCCTAGGTGTTAAGTTTGAAAATCCCAAGACTATGTACTCCAGATCTTGTGCGCTGAACAACGGCTAGACTGAGGTCTCTAATCTTCCATTACTTTTTTCCTCTGTGCTAATGACAACTAAGGAGGAAGCTTCTGCCTTATTCTTACGTGATTTGCTGGTGTGTGCACCCTAGCTAGAACTCCAGATGATGCCTTGTCTGACTGCTGATTCATAGGTTTTCCAGTAATTTGTTTCCAAATTGATTTTTCAAACCATATGGTTATTGTTAAAATTTACGTAGATAGTTTTGATTGAATAGTGCAGGTCTTGTCTTTGTCTACTTACAAGGCTGCTGTCAGGATGGTTGGATGTCAGGATCATGCCTGGATGATAAGGTGTTTCAAGCCCTGAGAGAGGTGGTAGCAGGTGGCTTGTGCTGAACCAGCATGTGCTGATTGACTGTTTGCCAAAGCTTACTGCTGCTTACAGAATTCCCCTTGCTTCCCCTGATCTGTGAATCATAATTCCATGATTTTTTTTTTGAGGGGGCCTCATGGGATGAAATATATTTTCTGAATGCTTAATATGTGTTTGCAATCTCTATCTAAATGAAATCAGTAAAATAACCTACCTATATGTAAACCTACCTATATGTAAATCACAAATATTTACATACATCTGTTTAGCATTTTTTAGAATTAATAGTGCTTCTTGAACTTTCATAGCTCATCAGATCCTAGAAGAAGGCATTATTGACAGTATTATATTGTGGGTTGGATTTTCAGACAGGCAACTCCAATCAGAAACCTGAAATTTAGATATTCTAATTAGCATGCAGCATATTGGCATATATGTTTTGTTTGTGTCACTGATTTAAAGTCTTCTGTTAACTGAGTATTTTAAGTGGTAAAATCATATGCTTTACAGAATAGGGCAACATAGAAATAAAAAGCATCAATGTTGACTTACAGAAAAAAAACCTTACACCTGTAGGGCACAGAAAATAGAGAAGAAAATAGTTTAGGCTGTTATCATGCACATCCAGTTTATAGGAAAAAATATGGAATAAGCAAATAGTGTCTTCAGATGCATTCATCATTATGTACATCTTCAGATGAAATAGCTATTCAGTGAAAGCACGTACAAATTTCAATGGTCTGAATGGCTAAAACCTATGAATGCTGTGGGTTGAGTTTACCCTATAGTATACTTCCAGCTAGAATGCCTCTTTTGAAGCAGATGGAGGACAGTTATTCATGAAGAAAATGCAGCTGAGATGATTTGGCTTTCTCCTGCACAGTTGCACAGAGTGAATTGCTGTTGCTGCTGCTGAAGCAGTGGAGAGCATTGATTGCTGCTGGAAGGAGGGAGCCTCGGTCCTTGTAGCAGCAGCTGCTGCTGTCCCTTCCCTCACCAGCCCTTTTCCCACTCCCTGTCATCACCCCACGCTGGCTCATGAGTTTGTGCAACTGCTGCAAAGTACTTTGGGCACCTTCTGCATACTAGAACCGTGAAGTCGGCATATCTTTATAATTGTACATTTCTTTACCTTTGGTTTTATACATAGATCTAGGACTGAACAGAATTTTCAGCAGTTACTTTTCTTTTTACTTACTTTTTAAAAATTGCTTCATGTCTCATGTCTCTTGAGTTTCTCATGTCTCATGAGTTTCATGTCTCTTTCAAGACAGTTTGAACAATCTTAAGCAGCTTGTGAAAAGCCCAGTTGCATGTGCAAGTGTAGATATGTAGGAGAATGCGTAATTTCGTTTCATTGTATACAAACATCAACAATGGAGCATGTGATCATTTTCCTAAAAATCTCATGTCATATAAAGAGAAGACCTGTGATGCCGAATAAGACAGAAAATTCATCAAAGACTTAGACTTGCAGTATCAAGTTACAGTGAGGTCTTGTGGACAGAAGGCCTTCCAGTTTTTCCAGAGCAACTTTTACCTGCGGAAAAAAAAAAAGTAGGAGCACTAAAAATAAATGCATGTGATCATCTTCCTAAAAATCTCATGTCATATAAAGAGAAGACCTGTGATGCCGAATAAGACAGAAAATTCATCAAAGACTTAGACTTGCAGTATCAAGTTACAGTGAGGTCTTGTGGACAGAAGGCCTTCCAGTTTTTCCAGAGCAACTTTTACCTGCGGAAAAAAAAAAAGTAGGAGCACTAAAAATAAATAACAAATATCTCTCCTTTTAAAAATCACGGAAATATCTCCAGTTAGGTTTCAGCCTTAAGATAAGGCTTTAATGAAAGGGTCATATTGCCTTTTGAGTTCACTTCATTTAAGCTAATATTTGTATCATGAAAGATTTTCACCCTTGTTCATCACTCTTGTACTACTTTACCTTACATTTCTGGTCTTAAAAAATACAGTTTTATTCTAGCAGTTTTAATTTTCCTGTATATAAATATCTTGGATCAAGTCCTTTGGTATACTAATTAAATGAAAAAAATGTCTAATTTAGATTGCTCCGTGCTAAGGCTGCTGTACCTCCAATAATCTAAGACAATTAAATTATTGGAAATTCCAGTAATTCTGAATTTG